ATTTGGGAAGAACAGGTGCGAGTACACAGGTTCAGTAGCCATCCACTGTCAGGTCAAAAATTCGCACTGTGTGACCAGTCCCTTAGGACAGTAACTTGAGAATCGAAACGGAAAATTCATTGTGAAAAAAGTGAAAACATATTTTATTTTTTGACTTGCATATATTGGTTTAGGCATGTAAAAACAAAATTGCTAACACTAGCCACCAAAGGAAAACTTTTATAGCCAAAAAAAGGCAATATATATATTTTTTCACCGAAAAACATCCCCATAAAGTAATCAAAAAACGCTTAATTTTCCGTCAAATGAGTATCTAAACTTAATATTTTAGTTAATTAGTATAGTAACAAACTAAAACTACGCTATTCGAACGCTAAATTTTATCAAATTTGTCAAAAACTGAGAAAAATGGTCCTGCAACTTGGAAATGAGTGCTAAGATAAAAAACTCAACGAATAAAAGTTGTAGAGTATTAGATTCCGGGTTCACTGGACAACAACAGTTTTAGTGTAGGTCACTTATTCCGCTCGAAATCAAGTAGTGAATACTGATGGCTGGAAATTGGTAATAAAGAAATCTGTGATTTTTAAATATTTCAGCAGTATAGGTATCTATTCTACCGAATTATTATTGTTAAGAGTCCAGTATATGCAGTGTAGGACACTTTTCCGCCTCTCAGCAGGGAAAGATTTTGAGAAACGACGTATCAAAAGAAAACTAATTTCATGAGGAAATAACGAATTCCGATTCGAAAGGTATAATTTAAGTACATTAAAACTGTTGGTACTCAGTGGACGCGGAATTTGATGGTCTACAACTTTTATTAGATGATTTTTTTCTCTTAGATAACTCATTTTCAAGCTTCAGGGCCATTAATAGTAATTTGTCTCAGTTGTTGAAGAATTTGGTAAAAATCAACGCTCGTTGACCGTGGTTATCGACCATACCACTTAACCAAATGATTACGTTTAGGTACTCATTCGATGCACAACTTAGCGTTCTTTAATTTCTTTAAGAGAACGATTTTCGCTTCGATGCACCGTTTAGGAGTTATCAATGAAACAAAGATAAAAGATCGAAAAAAAAATATAGCTTTTTGGGCTATAAAATGTTTTCCCTTGGTAGCCTGCGTTAGCTATTTTGTTTTTTACGTGTCTAAACTAATATATATACAAGCAGGAGTGCCCCCCTCCCACAAGAAGCTGCCCTCCTCCCAAGATTTTTATTGCTCGCCTCTTCTTAAGAACAGAGCAAACAAAGGTAGAATTAGAAAAATTGTAGATCATATACAATTACACTTGCTGCGGTTTGTTCCATGTTTACCCTTTATCCCTTAATCCGAAAATTCATAACCCCGTTGAAATTCGCTCCCCTCAAAAATTCAAAAACCCGTCAAAATATGTCCTTATCAAAAATGCCCTCATAAATTTTCATGGCGCAATCATCGCTTTAGCGTTGTGTGTGAAACAACCATGTGTTTGACTGCTTTGAGTTTGTATATATTTTCTTTAGTTTAGAACAGTTATTTTAGTTAGAAATTAGATGAAACAGAATTAGTTTAGTTAGTTAGGTGGCCCTATAGAATTCATTATTTTTAGAGATGAGTGTTCTTTTTTTGTTTTGTTATTTTCTTTAAAATGGAGAAACAGTGGTTTACTGCTGAGAAAGCAGCTGAATTCATTACTTCTGCTTAAAGTGGTGATGAATTTTTGCCGTTAGATTGCGAATGGAGTGACATTGAAAGAACAGACAAAGCCATTTCGATTCCTTCTTAAAAATGTTTTAACTCCGCCAGTGTAGGTCCACTGGCCGAATCAAAAATAAGGATGGAAACAATAACTTAAGGTTACTACTAACAGCGAGTAGTAAAAGGTCGGCATTGAATGGTGGAAAAGAAGCAAAAAGTATTTAGCACAGATTGGTAGTCAGACGTTTTATTTCGCTCCGCGAGAGACGCGAACCACGTCATACGCAGCGGTGAAAAGATTAACACAATAAAAGTATCGATACTAAAGAAATCGAAAGTACTGAAGATTCCATCTTTTAGAAAAGAAAACATAGAAATAATTTAATATATACTATTAAATTAATATTAAGTCCTCATTAATCGAATTTAAAATCCTAGTCGAAACTAAGCAAATTGTACTACTCATCAAAATGGGACAATTTCTGATATAGGCATCATGGATTTGTGATGACGTAGACATTCTCTTGGGCTTCATTGCCACCATATTTGCCCAAGGTAAAGGTACGTACCGTTTATGAATTTTCTTATGTACGATATAGTTATGTTAGTTTTGCGATCTGATGTCTTTTTTTTGTTTTTTTTTCGAAAAATTAACATCACTGTATACTTTTTCCTTTTATTATTATTATTTGGTTCATGTCAAGACGTTTCATACACGTTCCGGACACATGTGGTCACATTTAGTAGCCATGTTATGTTTTCGTTTTATTTCAACTAGAAGTCTTATATATTTCAATTTATATTTTCTATTCTCTTCGTTTGTCCGGTTTGTTTTAATTCTTAGGAGTTTTTTTTTTTGTTAAAGCTAACCCTGCTTGCACATTGTCACATGTACAATGATATGTTAGTGTTAAAGCAACTGTTCATGAACTTCTGTCTTTTTATTTCAATGCTTTTTCAACAAAATTATTGTAAAATGTTACTTCCGAACTACTACTGTCACACCAACATAATAATGGAGGAGTACCAGATCACATGATCATACTCTTCATGAATATGGTGACCAATAGGTCAACCTTTCCACAGGTTAGGCTTCATTTCCAACACCAACAATTAAATGAAGCTGACTTAAGGAAACTGAAATAGTACCATAGGTGATAATACTCATAGCTTGGGAAAATAAAATTTTGTCGAAATTATCTAATTTAACTTGCACACATGGCTATATTTTTGTAATTCCATTGATCCCATTGACCATGTTGGGATCACATTTGCGTAGTAGAACAGTAACACTTGATTTGATCATTTGGCCAAGATCTCATTATCATTCTAAATATGGATTTCAGAGAAATGTCAAGAATTGAGAAGTGTAATCACTTCATATTTCTGTGATATCTGTTTAAAAATTCTCTACTGGTCCTTTTCAATTATAATCAGGGCGTTAATTTGCTTCAATTATATCTATGCATTTGATTTCACTTGAAAAGGTATAAACAAGCTCTCAACAGGTCCCCTTCAGTTTAGGTCATTAGCTTAGCTGACCATTCGATCACTTGTCTACTTTTGGCCATTCTTGGGATTCCATTTATGGTGAGATCATGGGATCTTTTGCAACCATTAAATTCTAAGGATACTTGTACAATATAATTGAAAATCTTGCTACTTCTAAGTAAAAAAAAATTCAATGTCAATACAATTCAATAATTTTTTTCTTCATATTTATTTTATGTACCTAATTGTTTTGATCCTTGTAAAGGCTTTTATGATGATATAACTTTCCCACTGTATAATATTAAAATGAAAGAATGTTGATTAAAAGAGTGCACTACTATCTGAAAAGCCTTTGAAGGGAAACTTGTTTTTTCTGTGAAACGAATTAAATTTATATATATGCTGTTAGTATTCACCAATTTTTACTTTCACTTACTCAATGGTTTATATATGTAATATGTAGTAAGGGTAAGTATTGCGAACGTGAAAATTTTCCAATCTCAGTTTTCAACGGAACTACATGTTTTGAGGTCCGCTGAGTTCAAATAACCAAGTGTCGCAATATGGTCTGTGTGTGTGTTTTAACAGTCTAGCTCATAAACGAAAAGTAGTACGAAACTGATACTAAGTATTTAAGGTTTGTATATGGGCTGGAAGTGCCACTTTATATGAATGCTGAAACACATTTTTACAATTTTCTAGAAAACGACTTAACGATTTTGATCAAACTCTATGTATCATTGTATAATTAAGTGGTCTTTAATATCATTTAGTTCTTATCCCCATTGATGTCTCTTTACAGGGCTTAAATGCCCAATGTTCATATAAGTCTTCCTCTAAAGTACCTTTAATATGGTTTATTTTAAAAAGTTAACCATTTCGCATTATTCAGAGTTTCGAAAAAATGCTACATATAACTTTTGAAAGAATTTGATAAATTAATAAAGGAGAAAAAAATAAAATTGCAGAAAAACCTGTGTTCCTACAGACTGTAGCGCCTAAACGAATTTATCAATTTCAATGAAACTTCTCTAAAGTCATTTTCTTGATACCCTTTAAATTTATCTATATAACATACTTCAACGAAAAGAAGCTGGAAAAAAAGTTACGAGGGATGTTAAAATTAAATTCCATACGGTTTTTTGTCGTTTTTGTGATAAAATGTTTCGATGATATTTAAATTCCCTGAAAAATGAAAGAAGTTTCATCGAAATCAAAGCACTATTAGTAGAGATATCGCGATTTTAAAATAAATTTCATCTCAAGAGATTTTTTTTTACAAAGTATAAAAGTTAACAAATAATAGACTTTTTCACCTGTTTTTATTATTTATCTAAATTTTTTTTAAACTTGCTTAAGTATTGTATAGTTACTTTTATTATTTACAGTTTTGATGCTGATATCGATCTTATTTCATGAATATTTATTACAAAGGTTCAAGAAAGATTCTCAATGTTCAATACTTAATTACTGTGCTGAGACATGCTAATTTTATTTTCAGGAAAAGTTATTGAAAACTAGAGGCCGGAATCTATGTGCAGTAAAAACCCAAATTATCTAAAATTGTGTAATTAATATCCAAGAATGTGCAAAATCATCTATCTGTTTTGTTTAATTTATAATATCAATGCATCACAATCTGATTAAACTTTTTTTACACTTCTAAATTAAAATGATGTGTAATAAGGAAGACAAATTATAATGCTATATCGAAATGAAAATACTAGGTTACTATCAACAAACAAAAAACATAATATAAATCAACAGTAAATAATGATTACCTTAATTTAGGGGATTTTTTTTTAACAATAAGTAGGATTAACATTGATTTAAATACCATCTATTATATAACAATGAAAATTTAATCATAAAAAAAAAAACGGATGGAATATCTATTGATTTTTTTTTCTCTACATAGGTCTAGGTAATTAAAGACAATTAAGATTGGTAATTATTCTTCTTTTCCTGATTGATTTTTTTTCCATAACTTGTGCTTGCGATCTGATAAGTACCAATGATCTCAGGCCAAGACCCCTTAGGGTCATATACTTGTTAAAATACAAGTTGACAGTATCGATCTTCATGGAGTAAAAGAAATTAAGTTGAATTTAATATAAATTGTAAATATTAAAATAGGTAACTGAGGGAATCAAATGAATGTGATTTTATCTGATGATTATCTATATATAAATTATTTTTCAGAAATATGGCGGATGTAGCTCCAGCCGGTGGCCGAGGAGGCTTTAGGGGTGGTTTTGGTGGTCGTGGGGGTGGACGTGGAGGACCACGAGGACGGGGCCGTGGCCGTGGCAGAGGCAGAGGACGTGGAAAGGAAGGAGAAAAGGAATGGGTTCCAGTTACAAAGCTAGGTCGTCTGGTCAGGGATGGAAAAATAAGAACTCTAGAAGATATATATCTGTTCTCTTTACCTATCAAGGTTAGAACCAAGTTTTAAAAATATTGTATGAATACATTTCAGGATATATTTTTTTCCTCTTAATTTGTTTTGAGTTGATTGATTGTCAACTGTTTTAGGAGTTTGAAATAATTGACTTTTTTATTGGACCTCTTTTAAAAGATGAAGTGCTTAAGATTATGCCAGTTCAAAAACAGACTAGAGCTGGTCAGAGAACAAGGTTCAAGGCTTTTGTGGGTTAGTATTCTATTAACAGTTCAGTCACTGAAGTGGTTCTTTAAAGTTTTTTGTCTGCCAAAACATTGAACTAAATTCATTGCACCATTATTATTTACTTTTAAAATTAATTAATACATCATAATAGTAAATTGAATAGAAAAGAGAATATAGAAATTAGTTTAAAACTGATATTATTTTTAATGATGAACTTTGTGATCAGACCTCTATTTATAATTTTATAATCATCCATTTATGATAAAGGAAAGTTAAGTGTTTCAAGATCATTGTACCAAAAAAAAAATGAAGTATCCATAATTTATTTATATTTTTTGATAAGTCTTTTCTCTCTGCTGGTGTACATTTGACAGCATGCTGTGAGAACCACTGTTCTAAAGCCTAACAATGTATACAATAACAAAATATTCTATTTATTGGTTGCTGATGTTGTAATAGCTATTGGCGACCACAATGGACACATTGGTCTGGGTGTGAAATGTTCGAAGGAAGTAGCTACTGCTATTCGTGGTGCTATCATCCTCGCTAAGCTCTCAGTCGTTCCAGTCAGACGTGGTTATTGGGGTAACAAGATTGGAAAGCCCCACACTGTACCTTGCAAGGTAAATTGTTTAATTAATTTTTTTATATTTGTATGAATTTTACAATTGTAGTTTATATAAAACACTGTTAAGATTTGGATACTTAGATTAAAAAATTGCGAAAATCATTCATTCACTATTTCTTTAAACCTAGTTTTGTTCTTGTTAGTATTTGTTAAAATTAGTGTTGTTAAACCTTTATTCAATATTTGTTTTGTTGTTTTTTTTTGAAAATATATTAAGGATTAATTAATATTATTTGGCTTTAATGATGAAAAATCCAACCCACTTTTTACTTTTTGTATGACAGGTATAATTACAAGTGATTAAAAAATATGCACTACTATCTGAAAAGCCTTTGTATAATTATTTGATCCATATTATTAATTTGTTACGCTTAAATAGTAAGGTGACATATATTGTCTGTTCAGGTCACAGGAAAGTGTGGTAGTGTACAAGTGCGCCTTATTCCAGCACCCAGAGGTACTGGTATTGTTGGTGCCCCTGTACCCAAGAAACTTCTTCAGATGGCAGGTATTGAGGATTGTTATACTTCTGCCAGAGGATCCACTGGAACACTAGGAAACTTTGGTAGGTCTAGTTTAATGTTTTATTTTGTATGTTAAACATTACGAAAAGAGATCCTGTAAACCAAACCAATCGAGTGCTCTTATTCCTTAATGCATCCAATGTACTACTTGGTTGGCCTCGTTTGTTTGTATTTTGATTTTATTTTCATGGTCAGTCATTAAATTTGACATTGAACTTAAACTTTATTATACGGATGAAAAACAAAGATCAATTTGGAATGGATCTTCTATAATTTAAACTTTCTTATTTATTGTTATTAAAAATTAGGAAGGTATATCCCCAAAAGATTATAACTATTGAGCTATGATGATAATCATGTTAAAACTTTTGCGGTTTCCACCAGAGGAATTTATTTCCCAGGATGGTTTACAAGTGTCTGAGCTCAAAATAAGAAACCTCTTTTAAAGAAAAATTGGTTTTTAGGGTTTTTTTTTTTTTTTTTTGTTTTGTTTTCTCAGGAAGTGAAGGGGTCCATTTATTTTCATCTATCGATTAAGGGACTCTTGTGGAAAAATTATTTTAAAAAATGCATATTTTTGTTACTATTAAGTAGAGGCTGTATTTTAGCACTAATGATTCCACATCAGACAACTTTCACTTACCGCCAATCCTACTTAGTAGAAAAGGTGAAAATAAAAATTATAGATGGAACAATTTATTAATTTAACACAATTCATTGCCATACTTTTTCCCGTTTGTCTAATCTATTGGATGTATTCATTCTTTGTCATTGTCCATTTCCTTTTACAACTTATTTTAATTAATTATTTAATATAAGAGTGACACGAATTTGTGTTAGTCTGACAATTATGCCAGCGAGGCTCTTCTATTTCTATGATATTTTAGGTATTTTTAATTGTAGGTATATAAACAAATTATAATTTTTATATTGTCATAATCTATATTATTAATGAATACCATTTATAAAAATGCAAATGTTTACATAAATATTATCAGAGCCTCAATGTTAATCATTTTTGACATAGTGTATTGTGGAGATATATGGATGCACCATTCCTAGTGGATCGGAAGAGGGGAGACCGGTAAAATGTTCAGAAGCCGTTCTTACTTATCCACCAAGCTCTATACTTAGGTGTTAACCGCTGTTTTTAGTCCTACCTCAGTGGTCCTTATTTTTTCTTTGTTAGATTATCTAATTCTTTTTTAGTTAGTATTTTACCATTTTATTATTATTACTGACAATGTGGAATTACATCCCATGTATACTTCTACTTTAAATACATAATTTCAGTTTCTTGCAACTTTTCGTTTTTGAGCTAGGTTGACACGCACAGACCATATATTTATGGTTATGGTTATTACATCTATTGCTATCTAAAACTAGAATTCAAAATTTTCTTAAAGGGTCATTGAACCAACATGTATTTATAATTTGTTGAGTCAGCAGATTATTAAGGAAATAAATGATAGTTTTTTTTAAACTATTTTATTTTATATTTTGGAAGTGTGGACTTCATCTAATTTGTCAATGATTTCTCTACACCCAACATATTACTAGGAAGAAACCAGAATTTAATATATTGCAAGCTTTAAAAAACTAGAACTGAGAGCAATGATGATGATTGTATTTAAACTTTTGCGGTTTCCACCAGAGGAATTTATTTCCTAGGATGGTTTAAAAGTGTCTGAGCTCACCTATAATCTATTGTCCATGTTTCATGAATATGTTAAATGTTGGATATTGATTTCTGAGATTTAGTAAATTGTTAGTTTTCCCCTTTTGACAAAGTTAAATATATTTTGTTTCCTAATTTTGATCCCATTCCATACCTACTACGATTCAGGTAGTTCCCAAGAAAAGAGATAGTAATTAGAGAGCAGATTAAGGGATATGATTCAGGTAGTTCCCAAGAAAAGAGATAGTAATTAGAGAGCAGTTTAAGAGATATTGGTGTTTGAAGTACTTACTTCTGTAAAGAAAATATTATTTTTCCTAGTAAAATGAATAATTTCAAGAAAACTTAACTAAATTCTTTCACTTCCTCTCAATGCTTCAATTCATTTTATTTATTACATCGTTTCAGGCCAACTTTGCCCATTTTCAAGTCTACCTTTTTATATCTTTATCTTATCCCCACCTTCTTCAAATAATTATTTTATAACTATTTATGAGAAGTCCATTCCTCAATTTAAAAATACTTTTGGACACATCTCACTAGTTAAAAAAAGTTCTATTAGCAACTTTTTGTGATATTGTGCGTCATATGCAACCAAATCAGGTAATGCTCTTAAAAACCGCTCTTCCAAATTCGTCATCATGATCTCGTGCGTTCTTCATAACACTTTCTCTCTATGAAACACTCACTAAACAAATGCATTTTGTTCGTTTGTATCCATTTTAAATTAATTTCTTTATATTCATTATTCATGTAAGGTCCGTGAATCTTTTTTAAAGAGCTATAGCGGTAAAATGGCAGGTCCAGCTTTTTTTGTTTAAGTCTATTTCAACTATTTCAAAATTTGGCTAGTAAGGACGTTTTCTGCCAAATATAGGCCATAAACTGAAAAAAGTGCCCTAAAAACATAGTTCCAGGATAAATTTTTGCTAGCAAACTTCAAATTTGTGTTCAGCGACCGAGAAAACATAAAGGGTAAGAAAATCAAAACTTATGAATGAGTCTATATGCCTAGTCTGCTAGTGGTGAAGTAAATTTATCAAACTGATACGATAAATTATTTAACTGAATGTTTAGTATTAGTTTTGCGATATAAATATTTATTTTGATTTTCTCATGAAACACTGATAAATTTTGAAAATGAATAAAAATATGATTTTGTGAAGTGATCCCAATACATGTAAAATAAAGTAAGTCAGTTTTAAGGCCAGTTCATGATTCAAATTTCTTTCTTGGTATGGATAAATTTTGTGATATTGAATTTCATGAATATACTGTACTGTCTCTAATTATCATAAATCAGCAAAATCGTATTTCCCATGATTAAGAGAAGGGCCTGTTTTAAAAGAATTCTATTAGTTCAATTAGTGATTTATTTTAATCAAACTAATTTGTTTATTTTCAAATTAATTGAGTTATTTCTTCCTTTAGTTAATTTAATGTACTTTACTGAGATTTTGAAAATTTGCTGTGTAGAGTAGTGTTCAGTAAAACACCAACGTATTTTGTAGACTAGTTAGCGGAGCTTTTGTCTTATTCTGTTATATATTATACTTAATAGATAATATTAATTTAGTAGATAATATTAATTTCTTCTAATTAGTGCTTTCCATGATTGCAGTCTGTTTTTACTAGGATAGTGAAATTGTTCCTTGGTCATAAATTTCATTCATTACATTTGTTACTTTTCAAAATATTATGTTAAATTTTAAGATCAAAATAAAACTGCTTCCCCTTAAGTTTCATACTTGTTTTCTGGTTTGGCTTTAAAATTAGGTTACTGTTTTCAAAACCTGATTTAATGAGAATTTATAAAAATCTATTTTAAAACATTCTTATTAACCACTGAGTTCATTGTTTTTTTTTTTGTTTTTTTATCACCAATGCTTAAAATGTTTATTTTTTAAATTGTTCATTCTATTAAACTTAGTTTCCTGAGCTGTGATGATAGTTTTATTTGAACTTTTGCGGTTTCCACCAGAGGAATCATTTCCTAGGATGGTTTAAAAGCGTCTGAGCTCAGTTTTATTAGATTATTAGTTCTAATTCTAAAGAAATTTTTCATGTTTAATGAAATTCTCCCCTCATCCATTTTTCAAAGACAGGTGTGGTTGAAATATGTTATAAAATTAGTTAAAAACGAAATCAGGCGTTTTGTTTTAAATTTTTTTCATAGTGTGTCTAAGATAAGTTAGCCTGTAGAGTAAGGGAGCTTGCATAGGCTTTCTCTTCTTTAAGTTGTATTTCCTCCTTCAGCCTAGCAATCACCTCATATCGGGTACGTTTTTTTTTTTTTTTTTTTTTTTCAATTTTCTTCTAAATCCTTGATTTCGTAAAAGAAATTTTTAAAAAATGATAAAAGAATAATAGGTTATTAAATAATTTGTAGAATTACATAAGAATGAGTGAAGACAAAAGAGTAGGGCATTAGCAGAAAAATGTTCCGCCATTACTTACCACCTCTCTCCCCTTCCACTCACCAGCAAACTTATCTTTAGACAGACTCAACAGTTGTGAGAATGTATATGATGAAATAACAGCATAATGTTGCTGTAAATAATTTTCTATCTCTATAGCATTATGGAGTTTAGTCTGAATTGCTTTTTCCATTTTTCTACATAAATCTGAGAAAATATCTAGATTTTATTTTGATGTTATTGAGTGGTGAGGTTATTATTGCTTAAAACATCTTGGCTCTGTATGTTAGTTGGATTTAGGTGTATTTGAATCTATATATAAAATACTCTTCTTACCTCAAGCATATAACACGATTTGCTCTATTGTATTTTTTTTAATTTTAAACATCTTTTCATTTAATTTTGTTGGAGTTAATGATAAATAAAGGAAATGAAACCTAGCAAGATGACAATTATCATTGAAGCTTCTTAGATATGATAACAACCTAGAACTGTTGTCTCATTCAAAAGCTTCAATGTTGTTTCGGGAGCAATCAAAGGAGAAGTATAAATAAGACGTCATACCTGCACTGCTGAGCAATGATTTCATACCTCAACTGGTATCAGTGGGTAGTACCAGCAACCTTCAGGCGATGCTAAGGATTAATAAATTTATGAGAGTTTTCATCAGTTTTAGTTATTATACTTCTTAAACTTTTAAGAACAACTAATATGTGTTAAATTTTGTACATCACCAATTCTACAGGTGTAGATTAGATATATGTAGATTAAAAAAAACAATGGTTTACAGTAGACAATATTGTTATTACAAAAATGTCTTTAATTAGAAATTATCAAAATTATCCAATTACATCAATTACCGAAATTAGTTGACACCAATGAATGGACAATGGGAATAAGTTTGATTGGAATCAGTTGCCATTTTCTCTTGAAAAGCAAACCATATAGTGCGAAGTTGTGTATATGATTATATGTGAAAGATATTTCATTGGTTTATTACAAAGTCTCAAAGAACATTTTTCATGAAGCTGAATTTAGGTGTGTTTTTGTGAATTTTGAAACCTTATTTATTGTTACACAAAGCGCACTTTTTTTTTTCATTGAGGAAAAATTTACCTAATTACTTTTTGCAATAAAGCTACAGTATACCATATTATATTTTCACTCAAAAACTAAATGAAAGTGAGTTGTTAATACAGCTTCTCTCAAGGTACTTAATTTTTTCAACATAATATATAAGGTGTTCGGGTTAGGGGTCAAATTTATAACTGATCTCTAGGTTCGAACTAGAATAACGAACATAAATATCACTTTTGATTCCCTAACATAAGGCCTCGGTACATTATCAATTTTTCATCTGTGTAAAAATATAGATGATAAAAATTATTTTAGTTTATCATAGACTACTGAGCAGTGATGAGAATAAATTTTTAACTTTTGCGGTTTCCACCAGAGGAATTTATTTCCTAGGATGGTCTAAAAGTGTCTGAGCTCAACTTCATATAGTTTTAATACATCTAAAAAGATGTTAAATATATGTGGTCTATATATAATTGGCCATTGCTTGATTTTAATGACTAATTATTTTATTTTTTTGTTATAGCTAAAGCCACCTACGCAGCAATCGCAAAAACCTACGCTTACTTAACACCAGATTTGTGGCGTGAGGTGCCATTGACTAAGGCGCCATATGTAGAGTTTGCGGACCACTTGGCGAAAAACCATGCTCCGGTCAGAGCTCCAGTTGGAACTGACTAAGTGTTGTCTCCTATTATGTGATCTTTCTCAGACAAAATAAATTGTCTATTGGAGTTTTATTAGTTCATTTATTTTTCATCCCTTGATTTACTTATACCTACAATATTCAGTGCATGTTTCTACATTGATATTGAAATATACTTGACTACAATATTTTCCTCTTGTAAAGTTTTTAATTTGTTTCGAGCTGCAATAGACCATAATAGAAAAAAAATTGTGTTTTAGAAATTGATCTACATCATTCGAAATGTTTAAAATCATTACTGTCTGGGTTTGACAGTAATAATAAACCCGTTTGGGTATAACGGGTTAAATCGTAATAAATTATTACAACTGAAAATAAAACTTAATGAACCTAATGAAACTGTCGATTTTATTCTTAATCTAATAGTATTAAAAATATAGCAAATACGTGACATGATTATCTGATAACAATTGTTATCAAAATCATTGTAATTGGTAATTATGATTTATGTCCATCTGTGGAGTCATGGAAAAATTATAACCCAGTGAAGAAAAAGACATTAGTTTTTTAATGTAATAATTTTTTTAATTCATTTGTTTATTAATCTCAATTCATTTATTGATTCTACTGCTATTTTTTAAAGTTTATTTATTTATACATCTTATTTTATTACCTATAAATGTCTATTATTATCCTTTTTTATTTTCTTATTTTATTTTATTTTTTTTGTATCAATCATCCAAATAGTATTAAATGATGTTATTTAGTTGATCGGGCGCTTATGACCTGGATGTTTTGCGCCTAGACATCGAAACAAACAAACATTAATTTTTTTCTCCAAGCTTAGCATTGAAGATTCTGATTCATACTTTTTCATGTAAGATTTATTTAATTAGAAATAAATAAGCTTGGTGAATTGCAAATGCAGGTGTCAAAGAAATATCGCTAAAAGCCTGCTCAATTAATTGTGCAGGGAGAAGGAGAGTTCTTTGTAAATTATAATTTTTAATCAGTTTTGTAAATAATTTAACATTAAAACATTAAGATGAGTTTTGAATCATTTTTCAAAACAGCATTACATAACTATTTAAAACTGTCTATGGCCATAATAAATTATTACAATTTTTTTTAATATTTATACAGCTATAAATTTAAGTTGTACCATAAATCAGTACATATGACCTAACAAAATATTTCAGAGACTAAGTGAATATCTCATTAATTTAATGAGATGAAGAGTTATTTAAGAGTTGCTTAGAACAAAATAATATGGAACTTATATTGAATCTTTTCTTATTGATTTTTAGAAGCCATATTAGAGAACATTTTTTAAAGAAAAGATAAGATTAGAGAGCATAATTATCGACACGAGAGTTATACAATAAAGGAGGAACATTTTTTTAAAATACTGATAAAAATGGTTGAGATTGTACTGAAGAACTACTATTGCTTCAAGTGTTAAAACATTTTTAAAATTTAAACTATCATAAATAATAGCCTTTGTTATCGTACTAATTTGAAATTATAGTAAGTCCATCTAAGATGTGCTACACTATACCAAATCGATTGTTTATAACGATTCGATTTTAAATTATTTGTATATTTAAATTAAAACATTGAGATTCTATAAGTTATTTTTCTTTGATTCAACTTTTTAATTCAGTTACAATATCTTGACAATGCTACCTGATTTATGTGTCTGCTTAATTTTTACAACTTTATCGCATATCTTAACCAGTCTAAATAATACACCTAACTTAATCTGCACTTCTAACAGTTATTGTAATTTAAAAAAAAAAATTCATTTTAATATGCTAATTAAACAATTTATGTTTTCCTGGGAAAACATCGACCTAATATTTGTCTTGTTTCATTTGTATTTGTAATGTATTACAAGGTGCTTTTATATTTTTAAGTAACTTCCTTTTCTAAGAAATTCTTTTTAGAACCAGGTGCTTTCCAGGTGATTATAGAATGGTCTCATAACTTTATTATTTTCAAGAATAGGTCAGTTTATTACCTACAAAATTTAGAAGTTCTTTGAGATTTTTATTAATCATTACCTTAGTAAGAAATTTGGACAAGTTGCAATAAAAAATTATTGAAATTTTGTTGTGTTTTCATCGATCACTGAAAGCACTACTTTCTTTCCATTAATAATATATTATTAAATACTCTAGAAAGTGATTGGACACAGGGTGTTTTCATAATTTCAGAATCGCTTTCTGCCTGTTTTATTTACCTAAGTAGAGAAGTAAAGAAAAAACTTCCAAGGGACCAGAAATTCATTGGTTGATTATTTCTAAATAAAAATAAATTGTTAATATAGATTATTTTTAAAATAAAAACCAATATCTATAATACTCAATACCTTCACTGGTCATATGTTTTTATAATGGTCAATGTGTTTTTTATTGAACCAATTTAAATTTATAGTTTTTATTTCTTGCATTTTAAAATTTTGCAATCTAAGGACCACTCATACTCAGCTGACGCAATGTAGGACAGAACAGAAAGTTTTTTATGTATTTCAAGTTAGTTGTAATGAAGTTATTTCTCAAAAGGGGTAAAAAAGTATTTCACTAAATGTAAGTGCTATAGGAAAATCAATCAATTTTTCTAAAGGATTTGATTTTCGTTTTCTTTAATGGTGTTCATTGCATCTCGGTTCCTATTAATGAAGTTATGCTGTACTGCTGATAGTAATATTGATATTGGTTATACATATAAAAATGTTTATCTAACATCACACATTCTTCAAACGTATCAGAGAGGATAGATATCTAATGAAAGAGTTCTCTTAAAAGTAATACTAGTACAACAATAATTTAAAAGTTATTTATTTCATCTGGAAAAATATTGGTTCATACTTTTTATTTCAATACATTTCTCAGTTAAAGATTTTTTTTTTTTTCAACTTATAGAAACCTTGAATAACAATAAAAAATAGTCATACTTTTCTCAAAAACTTCTAAGTATTCCACTCCTCTTATGTTCACCACTATTTGGAAACTTCTTATTACTTTCTTTTAACCAACAAAGGCAATGAAAGAAAAATACTATGATGCAAAAGAAGAAATTAAATTATGAGATTAGTTCTCAAATATTTCCCGACCTATTAAGGTCTATTACGCAACACTCAATGAACAGACACTTATAGGTTGTATCTATCTATGATTCTTTACCACTCCTTATCTTATTATCTCTAGAAACATTCATAATCAGAAGTATGATGACTAGTACCTCAACATGAACCAATCTATTTTAAGTTCTTATCGATGCGTTGATTTCCATTATCAAATGAATTCTATTGCAGCCAATGAACAGTCACTTACTGATTCAATGGAGAGAATTCAATAATATTGCTTTTCAAATGGTCCTCCTTCACTCTAAATACATTGAGAAGCGATAATGTGTGGAATGAAATAAACACACTAAGATTTCCACCTACATCAGCTTATGCTTAGGTTATTTCTATACCATTACATAATTCAGGCAAATGTAGTCAAATCACTCCATCGGTCTAAGATCCAATTGTTTATGATAATAAAACATACCTTTTTTTATATTTTAAGTAATAGAATTATGAATACCTGATGTCCCACAAGTATGACGTGTCATAATATGCTGTTTCAAATGACTTTGGGTTGCAGCACCATACTCACATAGCGAACACTGATAGGGCCTCTCTTTCGTATGTTTAATCATTATATGAGTTCTTAAATATGAGGCTCTTGGGGTCTTATATTCACAGAATGAACATTGAAGTTTTTCATTTGTGTGTTGGTTTCTTACATGAGCTTTTAAGCTGGATGGACATGCACTCTTGAAGTCACATATTGTACAAGTAAATGGCTTCTCATCAGAATGACGAACCCTAATATGTCTTTTTAAGTCACCAGATTGTGTTGACTTGTGATCACAATATGGGCACTTGTGTGGTTTCTCATTTGTATGATGTACTCGTATATGTGTTTGTAAATGACTAGATTTAGCTGTACTATAACCACATAATTGACACTGGTGGGGTTTCTCATTTGTATGATGTGTCATTATATGTATTTTTAAATTACTCGAGTGAATATATCTATAGTCACAAAATTGACATTTACGGGGCTTTTCTTTTGTGTGGTGGGACATCATGTGGGTTTTTAAATAAGTGGATCTTGCAGTTTTGTAATCACACAAGGAACACTGATGGGGTTTTTCAGAAGTATGCTGGGTCACTGTATGAGTTTTTAGAGCACTTGGTTGAGTACATTTATAATCACAGAATTTACACTTGTAGGGTTTTTCATTAGTATGCTGTGACATTATGTGTCGTTTCAAGTTTATTGACCAGGCAGTAGTGAAAGAACATACTGTACACTTAAATGGCTTATCCCGACTGCTTTGATTAATTAATTTTTTCATCAGACTTTCTAGATATTTTTTCATATTTTTTGTTAGCTTAATACCCGATTTTTCGGGTTTGATGATATCTGTCTTAATTTCATCCTCCATTTGTAGTCTTTTCTGTTCTATGCGTCTTCTTTTTTTCATAATTACTTTTATTTCTGGTATATGCACTAGTTTCATGTGTGATTCAAGAGATCTCATGCTATTGAAGTTTATTCCACAATGGAAACAGGTATATACAATGCAATTTTCACTGCCTGCAAAAATAATACAAAATAATTAATTAGATAAAATACAACAGTATTCCATTATTATTAATATTCAGCTACATATTATACAAACATACATTTCATCATGAAATTCACAAATTTTTAAGAAGAGATGTTTCAAATTAATAGGCAATAATTTTAATCATAAACCAGCAAAAGAAAGATATCTACTTAAAAATTAAATTTGTCAAATTTAAAAAAAAATTATTCAGATTAAAAATGAAAAAAATAAATACGTAGTTTACATGTAAATAGAGATTTACACATAAAATTATTTAAAAAAAAACAAATGAACTTACAAGAAGTTGAGGGTTTGGGGAAGATCTCTAGGATATGTGGTGGTTTCCTGGTTAGGAAATGTACACCAGCATCTGAACAAAACAAAAAATATTCAGAATTTCTTGAAATAAGGGTCTTTTCAAATTAAACCGTTAAGAAATCTACACTTAAAATCGGAAAAGTAATTATTTATTTTTATTTTTTAATAAATGACAACACAATATATCACAAATATACTAGTTGGCCCGTGCGAATAATTTGCAGTACATTGATCGTATATTACATATTTATAAATTATGATAGGCTGTATCTTTGTTAATAATAGTTTCATTTTGATTTTTTTTTTGTAGAGAGTTGTGTAATCTTTCAAATAATCATAATAATAATGAATATATTTTTAGTTCCTCGTCAATAAAGTTTCATTAATTTCATAACTTTTTTTCCTGAAATTTTGGAGGATGTGATGATTTTTCCCAATTGAAGATCTTAAAAATGAGGGATCAATCATTGGACTTGGTGAAGAATTAAGAAAGATATGGTGTACCAACAAAAAACACCTTTGAGAAATAATATATAAAAATCTGGTGTGGTGCGCGTATCACACAACTTTCACTTACCACCCTCTTAACAGAAATAAGTATTTTCAGACAAAGGAGAAGTGAAAGTAAAAATTATAAATGCTGCATTGATTTTATTTCATTGCGGGGTATTTTTATTTGTATGAGTACCGTTATATATATAAACTTTAATACTATATAATAATCGCTGTAATCTATACAATTATATTAAATGATACCAACAATAGCATTTATGAAAACCGCATATGTATATTTAAACAATGTTGTAGGAGTCCTTATATTATTAAGCTCATGTCAGGTATGTAAGTGTGTTCTAATCTTTCGGGTGCGCTCGTATTCCTTTGGTTCCTCAATTACGACTAATCTCCGTAACGATCTCTTATTTCTCCTTTAGTCAACTATCAAATTCTTTCATATTTTATATTTAACTATCTTTTATACTAGAAATGAATGTGAAATGATCAATTGTGTCAAATAAAAAAAATTAAAGATACTTTAGATGAAGATAGTATTGAAAATTAGCCATTTAAGTCCTGTTAGAGAACATCAATCAGAATAAAACTTACATTGTATTTGAAACTGCTTAATTTGACACTGATATAAATAATTTAATCAAAATCGTTAAAGCCATTTTCAAGAAAATCATAAAAATGTGTTTAGTCAATCATATAAAGTGCCACTTCTGGTTAGCTGATTTTGACGAAATGTAACATCCCAAGCATATAAAAACCTTAAATATCCAATTTCCCTTACGTATGAATTTTCGTTTCTGAGCTAGACTGTTAACACACACAAACCATTTTGGGGGACATGATTATTTCGACTCAGGGGACCAAAAAACATGTATTTCCGCTGAAAACTCAGATTTGAAAATATTCACAATCGCAATACTTCTTTTTACCATATATTTCATGTATAGGTAAGAGAAAGTAAAATAGTTGAGCTGGTTACCATAGAAACCATTTCATTTTGCCCTAGAATTTTTTTCCCCTGCTGTTCACTAAAACATTCTAAACTCCATAGGATTTTCTCTTAATTCAATGTATTTACAACTGCTAGAAAACTGAATTATTGCTCTTTAAGAGGATATCAATAATATTTAGATTTAAAACCTTTATAAAAAATAAATAAAGAAAAACTCCTCAAACGCTTTTATTTTATATCTCTAGTTCTAATATGTTTAGAAGGGTCTGGTCGGTGTCATTTCGTGTAGTTAAAGTGGCCCCACATTTTTGCTAACTCTCGTGTGGATATGTGGAGTCATATTGAAGATATCACACTTTTTGTAATTTAAAAAAAAATCCAAGGCCTAAGAGAGCTAGGTAGTAGAGGACTAGGAGGCTAGGTGAAAATTTGAAGGAACAAAATTTTACTTTTTGATTGATGTGAAAATTCGTATTTGAGACTTTTTCAACATGCTAAATACAAATCTCAACTTTGTTTCTTCTTAAAAAATATTTGAACCCACTTCAATTGGTACAAATTTTACTCATACCATGGGTTCATATATCAAATAAATAGGTTATAATAGAGCCTTCTTAAAGAAAATAAATTATAAATATCCGTAAACAAAAAAATGAGGAAGGAGATGGTCTGGGATGGCGGTCATGAAAAACTTAAAATAATGAAAAAACTATTTTAAATCTATTATTTTCATTATTATTATTCATATTTCTAAACTATTATTTTCACTATTCAAACTATGTCTTTTTATGACTGCCAACACAACAATAACACATCCAGTGCCGTTCTACCACTGCTGCTGATGCCGAGCCGGTCTGAATGCTAAAGGAAATTACTTTCAACAACATCTAATATGAACGTCAATGTTTAAATTTAATTAATAAAGTAGTTAGAACAAAAGAAAGGTTTTATTTATATCATATAGCGTAGCTAATTAATAACAACGGAAATCTTTAGGTGTGAATATCTCCTAAACAAAGCGTTTGCGGAAATATCTTCAGAGGAAATTTTTCTCTTCTTTTGAGGTCCTTAGTTTATTTTTGTAGTTTGGCCACTTGAACCTGAAAGAACCTGTATAATACAGTTATATCACCATTTCATATTATATAATTATGCTGCATTGTATAATTATGTAATTACTTTGTATTTGATATGCTGTAGCTGTATGTTAAATTAGAGGCTTTGTAAAAGAGATACAATATATTACATAAATATAAAGATAAAATGCTTACTTCATCTTTGGAATATTGTATTTTAAAATAATTATAATACTATTTTCTCAGGTCTCCTTCAATCTAATAAATCTATCTTTTGGTGATGTTTCCTTTCAAAAATAAGATGCCACCATTGAGTCATAAACATTACGAATTAAGCATCGAGTGACGTGATCGGAATTAGTTTGTCTCATTGGGATATTTGGTAAATGTTCAATTTTGAAATGAAACTAAAACTTGAAAGATAAATTTAATAATAATAAAGTAAAACAGAATCTGGTTTAAAATTTAAGAGAACGAGAAAATGATATAAAAAGCAACAAAGTCAGCCTGAACTTCAGGTCGAAACGTCGGCAAATGTCAAAATAAATATTATCATTTATTTTTGCCTCCTTATTTGACTGAGCACCCCAACCATTCTTCTCTTCATTAATCAATATTTAAAGAATAATTAAGGTTATCTAGCAATAAACCTATAATAAATTTGTGAATTACTAAACTAACTGCCTACCTAATTCCTAATGGTTTTTTTAAAATAGTTTTTGTTTGAAAAATGTTTGAAGCTCCATATATATATTTGACCATCTCCTTGACATATATATTTGACCCCGGACCATCTCCTTCCTCATGAATATACAACGATCAACCATGGAGTATCAAAACAAATTATATGTTCTTTTCCTTTCTCCTCCGAGCTTCTCAGCATCAAGTTAATAGGCATCGAATCCATTTATGCCAGCCATCAGTCGTTCGCCAGTCTCCTCTTAGGACACAACTGCTTGCCTCTTCTCTAAGACATATATATGCTTGATTATTTCCTACATCCATGTTTTTCAGGTTTATCCTATTGCCCTCTTTTCTATTGGTCTTACCTCAAGAAATTTATTCAGTTCTCTTTCTTCGTTCATCCTTACAATATGACCGAACCATTTCAGCATTTCCTTTTCTATGATTTTCAACACTGAATGCACTTTGCCCTTCTTATCTTTGACTCATTCATTTCAGATATGATCCTGTCTGATCTGGTCAGCGATTCTCCTTAAGATCATTTCAGTTGCAGTTAGTCTGCTTTTATACCTGTCCAATAAGATCCAGCTCTCACTACCTTACAGTAGGGTTCGAAGGTACAGCGTATATATATATATATATATATGTATATGTATCTAACTGAATAAAGTTCTATTTGACTTTGATGATTCTTTTTTGTTTTGTAATGAATTATTGTAATGGTTATCTTTCAAATAACCATGGGTGCAATCCACAATAAAATGTATACTTTTTGAGTTATTCGGAAATAAGTCTCTGTTACTTCAAAATTTGTTTTCCGAAAATTTCCAGTGAATTGGATTTGTTGAAGAATCAACAATGGTACGACCTACTGGCAAAAAAAAAAAAAAAGTGAGAAGAATAAAATATTCTTATTTTTTCAAGTTTGTAGCAAAATATAAATCAAACTAATATTATAGCACTGGCCCAATATTATACCTAGTTACTTGTATTTGATACTTAATTTAATATAGGATAAGATATAAAGTATTCATTTCACATACCTAGAAAAATTTAAATTAATAATATTATGGGGTAGTCTAATGGGGAAAGCTATTACTTAAAAAGTTCCTCATGACTCCTAACTAATCAGTTTCATACTCCTAAAGTTTCATTTTAAAACAATTTTATTGTTATGGAGAATGAGATAATTATAAGCAATAGCAATAGATTTTTTTAAAATAGCATTTTATAAAATTAAAATTTAATATATTAAATTAAGAATGATTGGTTTGGGCGCTTATGACCTGGATGTTTTGCGCCTAGACATCGAAACAAACAAACAAACAACAAACAAGAATTATTGGCGATAACTTTTTTTTTCAACTGATTATGATACTTTCACTATTTAAAATAAAGTTTAATCTTAACAACATTTGAAATTATACAGTAAAATTTAAATGCCCAGTTTCTTTAGATTAGTTTATTTTAGTTCAAGGAACTGCTTGGTAAGGTTTTGTTTTAGTTCAATAATCACATTCTTAATTTTCACATTAGGTTCTCTATTTTCACAAAATTGATTTAAAAGTTCTGCCTTAGTCTTTATTTAACCTGCAATCTACAATAAATAACCTCAGAATTAATAGTTAATAAAAAAATGAAACTATGTGAAAGAAACGTGAAGTGTTTAGAAAGGTGGGAGAGATGTAATGAAAATCAAGAACATAACTTGAAAAGCTAATACAGTTTATAAAATATTGACAGATAATTTTCTAAATAAGACATCCTCATGCTGCTCTAAGTTCTAGTCACATTTTTATGTGATTAAATATTCGAGCAATGAATGAATAACTGGGATAAAACTCTGAATGACCCATTCAAAAATTACACATTCTGAATAACAGCTGATTTTTACCTCTTTTAAATCAGAATGAGCATTTCTTTCTCCAATTTTATACTTCAACTTTTTTACCAAATCTTCTTAACAACAGCTTTCTAATTTTTATCGATGACATGACTTGATGGAACAAAAAAGGCTATAGTTGTTACCTAGCATTCTAATTAGCAAGAGACCTCTAATGGGATATGTCAGTATCATTTATTTTTTAAGTTTACTACTTCAATATAAATGCTTTCTTAAGGACAGATAGAAAATAATTTCCACTATCATTGAAGATGGAAAACAATACAATGGAATTTCACATTTTCTTAAGCTTTGTGCTTTGCATTATGAGTTTTTTATATTCAAAGAGTTATTATTATGGTGGAGATAATATTGACCATAGAACAAATAGTAGAAGGTTGATTGGGGATGCTGTCAAAGATGAAAGTATACACAAATAAAAAAATTATTTTCTTGTGATGCCAATGCTTCACCCTGATGAAGATCTACAAGTAAATTTAAAACAGTAAATGTATGTAAGGTTATAAACAGCTGTTTTACACATCCATGAAATATATTTATAGTTCACTTCTTCTTTCACACGAGTAAAATTAAATAGTTTTTTGAGCAATGTCATTCATTGCCTTGATTCGGTAGATATTAAAGACTTTTTTTTTCAAACTTAAAAATAATTTTAAAAGTTTACATTTAGTTAGGAAATTTTATTTAATTTCCATGGAAACATGTGATTTCCATTAAATAATATTAGTTTTCACAAATTATTATTTATAATTTCTTTGCCACTTTCCATTATCTTATACAAATTTTTATGAAAGATATTATTTTTTTCTAAAATTCTCAGCTTTCCAATGATATATTACACGTATACCTTCTGACTATTATTTCCAGAAATGCATTTTGACTTAAAATAAACATTTTTCCTTTTCCTCCTTTAGTCAATAATCAAATTTTTCCAAAGGTTATATTTAGCCTTTTTTTTTTAATTACTGCTAACAATAAGAGATAGTTAATTATTTAATATTAACCAAATTAAAGGTATTTTAGAGGAAGAAAATTTGTATATGGGACATCAAAGACCCGTTAGGTGACATCAATGAGTATAAGACCAAGCCAATATTAAAGACGATTTAATTGTACATTGATATACCGACTTTAATCAAAATCGTTAATGCCACATTCGAATAAATTGTAAAAATGTGTAAAGTCATTGATATAAAGTGGCACTTCAGGTTAGCTAATTTTAACGAAAAAGTTGCTGTCACATCACAGTCATATGCCTACCTTAAATACATAATTTCAGTTTCATGTAACTTATCGTTTTTGAGCAAGGCTATTCACATACACAAAGACCATTTTGTGGGACTTGGTGGGATGTACAAGGATTTGGACACAGGGGATGTAACACTAAACTTGTATTTCCGTTGAAAATTCAGATTCGAAAATTTTCATGATCGTTATACTTTTCTTTACTATATATTATCTATATAGGTAAGTGATACAAAATATCCAATCACATGAAATTGTGACAACCATGAAAACAACAGCTGAATATTTACACAATCTAACCTCCTGATATTCAGTGGCCAGCTAAAGTTTTCATACATGGACTGGTTGGAGATAAAAGAATTAATTCTTTTCAACATATTTTTTTATTTAAATGTGTAATTATAATTTCAATACCAATCTTATAAATTTTCTGAAAAATATTTGCCAAAAAATAGATAAATATATTTTAATGTCAATTTAAGTATAAAATAAGAATTTCAATGAAAGCAAAAGTTTTCATACATAGTTATATTATATAATAATTATTATTAGTCAGACATGAACTGCAAATCTATAGGAGCTATAATTGTTGGAAAAATAGAAGAAAATATCCTTCCAACTGACTTTGAAGTTGATCCAATCAATACCCAAATGACTCGAAATAGAACTCATTATAAATGATTGTATTTAAAATATAAATTAAACAATTTTGACTAGAATAAATTATTATATAATATGGCTATGAATGAAAACTCATGCTGCATAGTTATTCATATTTTATAATTAAATTGCTATTAAATACGTATGCATTTATTGCCAGGAAAATATTGTTGGAAGGATGGAATTGAATTTATAATAAAAAATTAATTTATAATTGGTAAAGGGAATTGAAATAAATTATTCTTCATTAATATAAAAAAATCTATATTATTTATTATTCTGGTTTATGATGTAAAATATATTTAAGACAGCAAATCACTATAAAATTAGTAAATTTAAAAATATTTAAAGGTGACCTACTTTTAATATTTATCAAATTAATTTTCAGTCATTTGAATTATGAAATAATCATAATTTCCAATTTAATAAAGAATTAAATTATTACAACAAAAGTAGTTACCATTTGATAAAATGCTTCGCATAGGCATTCCAGGCAGCGATATGTTTGAAACCATATCTGAAAAAAAAAAGAAATATGAATAAACAATATTTGTAATGTTGAGCTTTAGTTTCATAATAAAGAAAACAAAATAACTAAAATTCAATATGAATCATCATAGCTTTTATGCTTGTATTTTTTTAAATTCCAGAAAACATATTCATATTAAAAATAATAGTGCTAAAAAATTCATGTTCGATTTGTAGAGTCAAACAGGATATGATTCAGCAGATGAAAACAGACAATGAAAGAACTTGTGAAAAATAAGTAAGCTAAAAGTTTTGTATGATTCGTGAAGGATGCATGAGCAATTAATCATAAATGCAGAGTAGACATTGATACCAAAAGTTCTTGAAGCCTTCATAATTAGATCAAGATTTGGACAAGGAAATGGCTTCTTATTGAGACTGTTAAATGAGCCTCATTTAACATCATGAGTAATAGGAATAATGTTACAGAAAAATAGAGAAGCTTTTTGGTTCAAGCAAGTAAAAGTGTCTGAAAACATAAAATGCTGGAAGAATAAAAGGGTAAAACTGTAGTAATGTCATGTCTGGCTGACAGGTAATTCTTCATCACATTTATCACACTGTGCACTGTGTCAGAACTGTAGCTATCTGAGTGAATTTATCTTAAATCCAGAAGTGACACTAAAATAATTCCACTAAAAAAATGATAAATCTATATTAAATCTGAAACAAATCAAAAGTAAAATATTTACCATTAGTGAATATCCTATGGATGGCTAAAGCAGACATTGGTGCACTAGAATTGACACCTGTAATAAAAATTTAAAAAATAAAACAGTATATCAGAATGTATAAAACATTTATTAAGCAAATTGGAGAATCTAAGACCAAGAGAAATATTCTACAATTAATATACGATAAATATTTCAAACAATTACCGCAGGATAAAATCCTGTCGATAGGTAACTCAGGCAACGCTATGTTTGAATCCATCTCTGAAAAATAATGGGTTAAAACTATAAGTAGTAATGAAAGTAAAAATGTGCATTAGTAACAACTAAATAATAAAAAAAACAAATAACGTATTTATTCAGGGCTAAACAATTACAATTTTCATGATATATCAGAAGAGAAAGATGGTAATAGTGTCACGTCTTGTTGACAGGTAAATAAGTAAATCATCTCGAATATGGAATGCTGAAAGTCGTTGAGTGTTGACAACTTTGTTCTCAGGTGGGGACAAACAAACCTTCAACAGATCCTTGTGATGATCATCATTTATCTCTGTATAATTTCGGACACACTGCTACTTTTGGGTTTCTATACACTGTATGATATGATCTTGACTCATCTGTAAACTTTACATGACACTTGTGAACCAATACTAAAAATAATTTTGTCACATAGATAATGAATCACTTTTTCCAGATAATAATAAATAAATTTAACTATTACAAAAAATAGAATGACAATAGAATCAAAATTATCGAAAACTATAGATAATTATTGTCCAAATTTAATTTCCATGAAATATCATAAAAATTAAATTATTAACAAATCTAATAAACATAAAATATAAAAATGACCAAATGATAGCTATTATCAAGACTGAAACCAGTCCGATTCTTAAGAATAGAAATAGTTAGATACAGTAAATATTCTCACATGGTGACAGAAAACCAGTGTTGTGTAATAAAATACCAATAGAATAACAGCAAATAACCAGTTTTCCCTAACCCAATATTAATAGACCACAATTACTCTGTATTGAAAATTAATTCTTTTTATTGCCATCAATACAAGTGATTATTCATTATTTTGATTATATGAACACTCAAATACTCTAGTTAATCAAAATCATAGAAACATATCTGAAATATCACTTATCATCAGCAATGATTGAAGTTACTGATTACAGAAAAATCTAAAAGAGATTAATATAACATTCTAGGAGAAACAATATAACTGTTGTTTTTACCAACAAACTTAATTTGATTAATGATACTTTTATCGTTTTAATAAAACAAATTACCTTGATAATAAAATATAGGAATTAACAAAATATATTCTGTCAGGTTGATATTTAACCTTAACGTCATTGCTGTGTTCCAATTGGACAGAAAAATAGACCAATGATAACGCTAGCCGGTAAATTTAAAAATTATACATATTTTATTCATGTTATTAAAAGTAAGGATTTTGACTAGTTGAGAATCATTTATCATTTTATACTGTTTCACAGAGAACAGGTTACATTAAAAATGTATACATGTAAGAAATATGGTATTTGATTTTTTTTCCTTCATAATAGGAATTACTTGTGTCTTTGATTTAATGCCCTTATAGTCTGTGGGCCAGACCCCCTTACCGTGCACCCTCCCCACATCCCTATAAATTGCATATCATTGTGTTCCTTGTAACTATTTATTAAAAAAAAGCCAATGTTCCCACAAAAAAAAGTGAACGCACTGCCCCAAAATGGCGTCCAAAGATGGCGGATTGACGACTTTGACTTTAGTTAGTTTTTTGGTCACTGAGAATCAGCATTTGGCTTAATTTCCTCATAGTTGGTCTTTTATTAAAGCTGAATAGTTATAGAATAATAAAACATGAAGAAATATTAAAAAATAATTGGCTTAAGCTATGAAAAACACCAGTAAAGTCAATTTTTTTAATAAAAAAATTTTCAAGTTACAAATCAAGCGTCGTTTGTAATTAAACGGCCTACAATAACGCAAAACGTGCTCAAATAAACCATCTGGAGAATATATTTATCTTTCTAAAACGCTGATTATTTTTTACAAATGTTTAAGCAATTCTGTAGAAAATGCACTTATGCGGCAGAAAAGCGGTACTGGCGTGGCTGCCTACAGGCCTCTACCACACCATTCACTGCCCATAAATGGCTTAGTTATAGTGATATAATAACATTTTTGGTACATTATATTGGTTTAATTAACGAACAAATATTAATGCAATAATTTAAATGTAAAAAAAAAAATTATTATTATTTTTTTTTAATTTAACCTCCTTTATTCTGTACGTTGGTCGTTTAAGAAGACCTCAATTGTAAAAATGATATAATTATAATAATAAAAGTTAATTAAAAAATACTTTGCTAAATATCTTGATTTTTTTTTTATTTAACGTTTGCAATTGAACACTGTATTTGTATATTTACTGATTCTTAGAAGTAATTAAAATGTTTATATACTTCCCAGGAAATGAGTCATATTAATACCTTTTTTATAAACTAAAATAATATATACCTAATCTGAACTATATATAATGAATAGCTACCGGGTTGTTTAGTAAAACTCATATATCACTAATTAAAAAATTAATTTTTATTTCCTTTATTTTGTGCAGAAGTTGGGCTATATCATAAATAAATAGGAAATTTTAATATTGAATGAATTATTCTCTATGCACAAAGAAAGATAGAAGGGGTGATGCTATAAGTTCTTCTATAAACCAAAACTAATTGTTTGGATTTGATCTCAAAATGAGGAAAAACGCGAATAATACATTAAGGGAACGAGAAAGGAAGTACTAAAACCTCGGAATAGATAAAAAGGACCAGTACCCATTATATAGCTAAATGAATGTATAGTAGAGAGATGAACAGAATATTTCAAGATGCTGCTAAAACAGGATCAATTGCAGTTTGGATGATATTAAGTGGACGATGTAGGTTTATTATGGTGAAAACCACTTTATTTTCGATTGCTGAAGGTGCACATCGGGACTATATTTACTTTGAAGCAGGATATAGAGAGGTATATCGAGAAAGTTATAGCTCATAGCTTTCCTTCTGATTTTTTAAGGAATCTTATATTAGTTATAGCTCGTTATTGTTCAGAAATTGCGGAATAAATTGTTTGGAATTCGTACCATATCATAAAAAAATAGGAAATTTTAATATTGAATGTATTATTCTCTCTGCACAAATAAAGATGGAAAGGGCGAAACCGAACTGCTTTGATAGTTTTGCAATACATAGGCAACAAGCATATTAGAAAATAACATAAAAGGACTGTGGTTTTTATCTTTACAAGAAAGGAGGTACAAGGAAACGTAATACCCATCAAGATCCATTCCTGTTTAGTGTACCAAACAAATTATACTCAAGAATCGTAGAAGCTGGAATAAGAAATATTGTCGATTGCCAGAGTGATATGGATTGAGAAACTTAAGTTGCACATTGGAAGAGAAGTTGAAAATTGGGACTGTCTTCACTTTAAGGCAGGTTATAGAGAAGTCCACATAAAAAGAAAAATAGCTCTCTATCTTCTTAGTGCCTCACACTTTGGATTATGCTAATATCGAACTGTCTTTAAGAAAAGCTCGTTTTCCTTTTAGATTCCTTAACAAATTTTTTGCAAATGCACTAAACACAAGGAAACCTATGAGCTATAACTTTCTCGATATCTTGAAATATTCTGTTCATCTCTTTATTATACATTCATTTAGCTATATAATGGATACTGGTCCTTTTTATCTATTCCGAGGTTTTGGTACTTCCTTTCTCGTTCCCTTAATGTATTATTCGCGTTTTTCCTCATTTTGATATCAAATCCAAACAATCAGTTTTGGTTTATAGAACTTATAGCATCACCCCTTCTATATTTCTTTGTGCATAGAGAATAATTCATTCAATATTAATATTTCCTATTTATTTATGATATAGCCCAACTTCTGCACAAAATAAAGGAAATAAAAATTAATTTTTTAATTAGTGATATATGAGTTTTACTAAACAACCCGGTAGCTATTCATTATATATAGTTCAGATTAGGTATATATTATTTTAGTTTATAAAAAAGGTATTAATATGACTCATTTCCTGGGAAGTATATAAACATTTTAATTACTTCTAAGAATCAGTAAATATACAAAACACAGTGTTCAATTGCAAACGTTAAATAAAAAAAAAATCAAGATATTTAGCAAAGTATTTTTTAATTAACTTTTATTATTATAATTATATCATTTTTACAATTGAGGTCTTCTTAAACGACCAACGTACAGAATAAAGGAGGTTAAATTAAAAAAAAATAATAATAAATTTTTTTTTAAATTTTAATTTTTTTTTTACATTTAAATTATTGCATTAATATTTGTTCGTTAATTAAACCAATATAATGTACCAAAAATGTTATTATATCACTATAACTAAGCCATTTATGGGCACTGAATGGTGTGGTAGAGGCCTGTAGGCACCCACGCCAGTACCGCTTTTCTGCCGCATAAGTGCATTTTCTACGGAACTGCTTAAACATTTGTAAAAAATAATCAGCGTTTTAGAAAGAGAAATATATTCTCCAGATGGTTTATTTCAGCACGTTTTGCGTTATTGTAGGCCGTTTAATTACAAACGACGCTTGATTTGTAACTTGAAAATTTTTTTATTAAAAAAATTGACTTTACTGGTGTTTTTCATAGCCTAAGCCAATTATTTTTTAATATTTCTTCATGTTTTATTATTCTATAACTATTCAGCTTTAATAAAAGACCAACTATGAGGAAATTAAGCCAAATGCTGATTCTCAGTGACCAAAAAACTAACTAAAGTCAAAGTCGTCAATCCGCCATCTTTGGACGCCATTTTGGGGCAGTGCGTTCACTTTTTTTTGTGGGAACATTGGCTTTTTTTTAATAAATAGTTACAAGGAACACAACGATATGCAATTTATAGGGATGTGGGGGGGGGGGGTGCACGGTAAGGGGGTCTGGCCCACCGTGTATTATGGTTCCCATCTTCACTCAATAGCAAGGGTCCCCATCCTCCCCAAGGTCGATGTCGCATGAACCTTTCTCCTCCTCTCTCGAAAATATTTTATTGTTATCCTCTTCTTAAAAGCATTAGAAATGAAAGTTCCGTTAATCATACAATTACACTTGATGAGGTTTGTTCCATGTATTCCCTTTGTTTTCTTGTTTGAAACTTTACAATCCGATAATTCACTAATTCGTCGAAATGTGCCCCCCTCAAAAATTCAAAATCCCATCAAAATGTGGCCCCTTTACAATTTTGATGGCGTAACTTGTACCATGAAACCTCCTTCTGGGCACCCCCGCCCTATAGGTAGTGAAACTAGAACTGAACGGGAAAATAAGTGGGACGTGTGTCTTTGTAGCCAACCCTTGTCGGGCACCAAGAGGTTGCCACCAGGCATTAATTACAGTGGGTGCCAAGATTCCAAGATTGGGTGCCACTGAGAATTAAATATTAATGATCCATGTGGGAATCGAACCCAAGACGTTTCGAACAAGAGAGTGTGGAACCCTCGACCAAAAGTACACGGCCATCGACTCTTTTGTTTTTTTCAACTAGAAAAGTTGAAATAGAAGCCAATACTCAGCAACCTAAATCGACCTAGGTGAGCTCTTCACTGACTTCAGAATCCATAATTTCTGGAAAAGTGCGTTATTATGAGCCACTAGCGGATCCAGGATTTATTTTTGGGAGAGGGGCGTCAGCCCGAAAGTTTTTTTTTCATAAAAATAACGATAATTACTTTGGAAAAAAGAAACTAACTACCTGTATGAAATGGTGTTTAAGTTATTCCTAAAGCCCTTTTAAATGTAATTACACGAATAATAATACTTTAAAAGATACTTTTTAAATATTTTTTTTGATAAAACATGGTTATATTTTACCATTTTGGAGGGGCTTCAGCCCGAAAGCCTCCCCCCTTCGTAGATTCGCCCGTGTTATGTGCTGAAAAGTGCACTAAGCGGCAGAGTAGATATAACCGGTATATGTTGGGTGACCACTGAATTTCCGAAAACTGCTTCTCCCAGAGATTTTATTCTCATACGAAAAATTTGAGACCTTGTAATAGATATTTTTAGCCAATGAAAACGGTAAGGAAGCTATACTGATCTTACCATAATTTCACTCCTTCCGGTATGTTATAAAATATTCACATTAATCTGAACTAATCGAATCACGAAAAAAGCCGAGGAAACTACAGGGGACTACCAATGTGGGTTTAGGCGGAACCGTTTGACTATCGATCAAATATTTTCTTTGTGACAAATATTAGAGAAAAATTTAGAGTACAACTGCGTTGTTCATCAGCTATATGTCGATTTAAAAAAGGTTTACACGATTTTGTTGACCACC